GTTCTCATGCTGAACATCCATGTACTATTTTCAGAGTTATTTGCTTCCACAGTGGTTAGATAGAACCTTCCCTCCAACAGATGTAATTTACTGTTTGCGTGTTGTGCTCAAGGCTAGCAGAGAGTCTGAGGAGGAAATCCTGCTTTTTCTTTGTAGCTCTAGAAGATTAAGTATTGCTTTCTTCTCCTGGCTATGAGTTTCTTGGCAATGTTTTCCTGGAATTCAGTGTTGATACAGTTTTATCAGGGCTTCCTTTCTTCAGTTATTTTTTTCTGTTGCCTTCAGGACTTGCAATCGAATTTATAGCAAAAAAGTTATCTAAAAGCTATGGTTAGCCTAAAGACAAAGCTGGATGTATGTAGGACAAAGATCTCTTCTAAGATGTCATTTCTCAGTTGAGATTAGTAGCTGTCAGGTTTTGCTAGATATAACTAACAATTTTCTCTGTGATAATGTTTCCAGCTGGAGGAAAAATGTTTCTATAGTCTTCAAAGACTGAACTAAGCTATTGCACTCAAAGGATCAACTGGCACTAGATGTATCTGGATGTTGTAGAATTGAGGCTATTGTTGCTATGCCAGAAGGACTGCGTTCCCTAAGACTTCTGAAGTTTGCACATCAATAATTAAAGACTGCACTCTAGAACCCTGCCCCAGACCTCTGACACCAATTCTTTCAAGCAGTGCTTTGATTACTTGGTCTTCATGTCTCTCTCTAGAAAGGACAGATGAGGCCTCAGTCTTAGGAGAGACATGTGACTTCTTTCCTTCATTATTTTTAATGCTTTTAGTGTTCAGGAAAAAAAACTGCAAAGAAAAATATCCTACCAATAGTTATTAGCTGGGGCAGCAGTTTAACATTTCCAAGGCTCAAGAAAACTTAAAGTTCCCTTTTCTATCCAGTGTCTTTCTTTCTCTTCTGATATGTAGCTGTGGCTTGTGTAGACTGCTAGTTGTTGTTAGGAAGTACCAGATGTCTTAATTCTGGTCTCTGATCCAGTGATCTCAAGGGTCCTTTTCACCTGAGAATATTTCACTGAAGTTTCTAGTCAGCTCAGATACAGAGAGAAAGAGCTTTTTATTCCCCACACTTCCTCTTGCAATAGAGACACTTTTACCAAAGCTTTCCTTTCTCACCTTTTTTTTTACAGAACTTCCCTATTTTGGAAGTAGCTCGACATTTTTGTTTATAGTTTTTAGCAGCAGATAGCACATCATCTACAGTCCTTGGCAGATTACCAAACTCGTATCAACATACTAGGAGAGGTGTCTCACTCATCCAGTTATGTATAACATCTTCCTGATGTTTGGGCAGTTGTGTTCAAATAAATAATATATTAACCAATATTTCTTGAATGCATATTATGTAAATAGATCGAAGCAAAATGTTATCTTTAGTAAGTAGCAGCACCTCAGCCAAATAACTTGAGGGAATTGGTTTTCACATCACAATAGTATAGTTGCTTTACATTGCCTTAGAATATGAACTGAAGAGCTGGCTTTTGTAAGTGATCCTTCAGAGATGAAGTCGCAGGATCACTTTCTTCCACAGGCTTATCTATAGACAGTGTGAAGAAGTCATGCTACTTCTGTTTGATTGCAGGGAAAAGATGAATCAGCCATTTCTGTTGTTTATCTTCTTATCCTCAAAGCTTTTTTGGAAGATCAGCTAATCTCTACTGTGTATTGTGTCACTAACTTTGTTCAGAAAGTATGTCACCCAGTTTTTGTACTTCAGATTTAGATACGTTTTCACTTCAGTGACTGCTATAAGCTGCTATTCATTCCAGATGGAGATGCTCTGTAGAAACCACCTGTACTGGTTGATACTGGATCTCTTGGACATCTCTGTTAACAATTTTTTGAGGCAACGTTTGCCTACTTGTCTCTCACAGGACAAGCTTATTTGTTTTAACCATCTTGTCTGTCTGAGTTGCTACTCTGCAATAGCAAAGGTTAGCAAGAAGCTGAAGAAAAGCCATGCGTTGTTGGTAGGATCATTGCAGTCACGTTCCATGTGGGGAAGTATTGTTTGTCCTTTAAGTTTTTTAAGGTTTGTGGGCTTACTTAAGTTATCCAAGACCTCATTCGTGTTCTTGAAAGAGCTCCATATCTTGATCCTTTTAAAAACCTCCTATTTGCTTCATCGGGACAAAGCTGTTCTTCAAGATGTCCAGGCTATCTCTTGAAGATAAATTAAAAGATAAAGCTGTTCCATTGCAGAGATCTTAAAATCAGTTCAGGGTAAATGGACATTGTTATAAACAAAATTAACTTTATCACGCACAAAGCAAGGCTTATTCTTCCTAAGTACTGGTAGCTTGACTGTATGTCTTTAAGATGTATTGCTACAGAAGTCCAGAAGCTTGTGTATCCGCTCTCTGGACATGCGCATACCATCTAGGTGTGCTTTTTTTTGTATGCTAGCATATAGACTGCTTATAGGCTTGCCTTGTCACATTTCACCCTGTGATTAAAATACAATTTTAATGCTTAAAAGAATAGGTAGTTGAAAAACAGTGGCCTGTGTAGTAGTTAGTATTTCATCAAGAATTATAGTAAATCTCTAAAAAAAAAAAACAAAAAAAAAACAAACCCAAACAAACCAAAGCAAATGTCATTTCTTTGTTTATCTGTTTAACAGTTTCATACTTTAGATATGTCTCTGTAGGACTTTTGAAAAGTAGAATTTAGCTTCCCTTCCTTGGAGTTAGCTTATTGTTACACGACATTAACAACTGATTTGTTAAATTCAAAACCTAGATTAAGGCTTGGGCGTTGGAGTGAACTAATCTTGTAGTTAATTAACTGTTCTGTAAATTGGTGCTTTAGAGCCGTTTATGACAAATTTGTGCAGAGATGAACCAATTTAGTTTTGTACTTTTGGTAGTTGTCTTCTAGCTGCTAAATGTGTAATACCGTAGGAGCTTTTTGTAGAGCATATGCCTGCTCTTTGAAGGGCATATGTATTCCTGCATGGTATTAGCAGCAGAATGGCACAGGTTATCCACAGAGGAATTGTATCCAAACTAAATCTCTCCATTTGCACTTGAAAATTAAGTGTCCTTATCACCACTTCCTATTGCAAGAAGAGTCATGTTTGCACTGTATAACAGGGCACTTGCACCTGTATGTTACATGTTTGAAAGTCCTGCTAAACTGCAGACGACAGCTTTTAAAAACATCTGACAGAGGCTTTACCATTGTAATAATGCCATCTTTATAAATGGTTGCATGTTAATTGGTGTTTGAAGAAAGTGTTCTACAGTCTTAATTTGCCTAATGTATATCCATTAATTAGGGTAAGGATAAAAATAAGTCTTACTATACTAGCATGTTAGGGTGAATAACAGTTGTGTCTTTAGTTGATGTGTTAGTAGTTATATACTATCCAAAATCTCATGAAAACTTTCTCAGTGTTGTGATTTTGTGATTGTGATCTAAAGGGATGTCAGTGAATGTGAAAATGACTAGATTTGTGAAAGATAAGCAAAACAATTCTTATCAACAGAACAGTTACAGCATGTTCAGTGCTTAAGGAGCTTTTGTATTGTGTCTTAGAAGTATTTAGGTGTGTTTTTTTTTCCAGAAGGCGTTCTGTCAGTCGTTCAGTTTATGGTGCCTGTGAGTTTGATCAGAGTGTTCATTTGCGTCTTTCCATTCCTATTCTAGAATATTATCTTTGTGTTCACTTAGGAGTTATCCTCTCTATATATGCTGCTGTTCTAAACTTGTCTTGTCTGTTGAAAACTAGCTAGGCACAATTATTGTCCTCTCTTAAACTACATACAGCATAGCTTTTGATTCCTTTTGTAAAAACAGGCACTCATACAGCGTCTCTCACTGCAAAATGATTTGCGGTGGCTAGATAGTTCAGTGTTCACATCGTAGGGCAGTCATTCGGGTTCCGTGTTCACCTTTGAATAACCCGGTGATGTCCGTTCAGTATAAACAGATGGGGCTATTGTTTATCCAGCATCCATTATTGAGTTTGTCATGTGTCAACCATAGCAGAAAAACCCCAAAACTTAGTAATATTGAGAAACCAAATGTGGAAAAAAAAAAAAAAATCTAGATTCTCATGGGTTATTCTCAAATTTGTAATAAGCAACTCTTTTTGATGTCCATTACTTTTTCCTAGTGTACGTGGATGAGCATTATTTTTTGTTGTTGTTTTTGTGAAGAAATTTCTAAGTGGTACAGCTTTTAGGACAAGCAACTAACATAAGTTTGTGAAAAGGAGTACCTTCTTTGTAGAAAAATCTGAAAAATGGAGTCGAGGTCGGGGATCAAGGTACAAAAGTCTTCTGTTCCTGTGGAGGGTGGGAGGGAAGAATATGATGATTAGGAAATCTATTTATTCTCTAAAGGAATAACTGGTGTTTTAAAAGACAGGTGCTTCCTGTGTGTTCTCTTGCTTTGGTCCCTTTTTGTAGTTCCCATAGTAGTCTCTCAAAGTACATGAGGAAGAAGAAGAGGAAAATGAAAATTAATGCTCATAGACCATTAAATGAGCACTTTTTTTTTCTACTTCCTCCACCAAAGTTACCAGATACAAGTTGGGAGTAACTGGCTAGAATTTTTTGTATAATGACTGAAGTTGCCAAACTTTCTGAATGACCAATCCTCTTGCTTGTCAATTTAAAAAAAAAAAAAAAAAGTCATCACAAAGAAACTTGTCTGAGGGTGTTGTAAAAGTGATGTGACTTTTGTGCTCTTCCTAGAGGTTTGTAGGCCACTGGCTGTGTAGATGAGTTACTGGTCTTGGAAGTCATGCTAATAGACAGATGTGTTAGAAGAAATAGGTACAGTAATCAAATATTTAGAATAAGATAAAAATAAGTTGAGTATCAATATAGCTGGTTACTTTGTGTGCTAGACTTTCAAATACTGAGACAAATGAAAATACTTGAATATTCATAAGAGGTCTTCACAGAACTTAGTCAATGATTGCTTGAAGTAAATATCAGTGTAGCTGTGATCATTTCCCAATGTGATCAGCTCAAAATGTCTTGCCTTCTAGAGCTACGAAGAGGAGAGGAGGAGTCGGTCAGAGCTTGAGGTCAGGTGCCAGCATTTGACACTGGAACTGGCTGATACCAAGCAGATGATTCAGCAAGGTGACTACAGACAGGAGAACTATGATAAAGTAAAATGGTAAGTATCTTATGTGTTATATTTTTTTTCCTAGTTTAAAAGCAATGATCTAACAAAAGGCCCGATGTTCTACTGTGTGGTGCCTACACTGTGAAATAAGAGGGTAGGACCTTGGGAATCAATGTTTACAATTTCAGGTATCCTTGTAAATACAAATTTGAAGGGACTGTTAGAAGAACTCTGTCGGAGAATCTTAGGATTACTTTAGTGGACTGGTTTAACTGCTGGAAGTTCCAGTGTCTCTTCATTTTTTAAAATACAGATTTTATAGTTCTATGCTTTGAGTGCCCATCTTATAAACAAAAATTGAAAATAGTGAAAATAGACTTCTTATAAATACACTCATAGATGTATACTTCACAGTCCAGCTCCCAAATGGCTTTTTCAGTGTGCTTGCAAGTTCCAAGTTGCCTTTGGAACTTTTGTTGGGGAATGGATTCAAAAAAAGGGATTATGAATACAAATCACCCTGTCAGCTCCTTAGTTGTTCGTACTGAATGAACTCTGGCACATTTACTGACAGAAATGACTTTGCCACTAAGTCATTTGAAGGAGAGTCTGTCTTCTGGATAGCTGTTCATGGCTATATATACACTAAACCAAACTTGGAATCTACCTGGAAGCTTGTTGCAAATGGGATGGATTGATGCTATGGTTTGCTTCCCTTGTGCAACTGCATCTTAATAAGTGGATTGTAATAACGTTCATGTGAATGGCTCCAGTGTTTAACAGTGTGCATTTAAAATAGTCTTGAGTTGAAAAAGGCATGAATGAACGTGCCAAAACTATATTTGAGAGAGTAGGTTGTATTCATCTGGGTAGGCAGAGATGAAGGGGAGGGGAGAGCACTGCTGGCATGACTGCATGAGGATATTTAGGAGCGTTGCAGGAGTTAATCACTTCCAGGCTTGTTTCTGCCTTTGAAAATGCTATGTCAAACCTTCTAGTTCTGGTGTACTTATTACAAGTTATCTCAGTTTTAAAGCTATGCTGTGCTTAATATAAAACTGGTTAGCTTTTTTTCCAAACTGCGAGCTCATACTGGCTCATTCATTTTGCTGTTCTGACAGGGTCAGATAGAGTGGAGACATAGAGCTGCTTGTTTGTGCATATGGAAAGCACTCTTATTCAGGACACCGATATAGTTTTTTGTATCATGTGTATTTTAAATGTGAGAGGAGTAGTACAACCCCCTCTGGTATCAAGGGACTGTACACCAGGGAGATTAGCAACTGGAGAACAAGTATACATTGCTTTCTGTTTGATTAGGAAGATGGGAATGAAGTTGCTTTACTTTTTCATCAGACTTCAGTATCAGCAGAAGATTCAAAAGAATGTCACGGGAAATAGCATTAAAAGCTTGCTAAAGCTAAAAGGATGGACCAAGCATACTTACAACTCATTGTGAAGAGGAGAAATGTCTAGCCCAAAGTTACACTGCAGAATAGTAATCAGAGGAGGATGAAATAATTTAGGATGGGAATTCAGGATTGTTTTATTATATTTTAGGTTTACTTTTTAAATGCTTAGAAACGAAGAAAATTCTTTCACATAATAAATTACTGTTGCAGGTGTTAGTAGCTAAGATTGTCACTCATTGCCCTATAAGTGACTAGTTGGAAGAAGTTTGTGTCATGAACTGAAAGAAGGCTGAGAAACTAGAAAAGCAGAGGAATCTTGTTCATTAATCTTCATGCGTCTCATAGTTTCACTTTTTTTTTTTAACAGTGAACGTGATGTATTTGAACATGAATTGTCAGAACTCAGAAGAAAATATGAAATATTAGAGGTCTCACATAAAGCACAAGCTAAAGAAAGAAATGACTTATCAAAAGAGGTAAACATAAAACTCTTCATTCAGTAATTGTCCGTTTCTTCACCTTGAGAATTTGATTCTTTGTCTAATCAAATTTGTCAGGAACATCTGTAGCATCGTGGAATGATTTAGATTAAAATGATCCTCAGGAAACCAACTGGTCCAACCCTCACATGCAGTCCAGACACAGCTTAGGTCAGGTTGCTAAGGGGTTTGCAATTTTTTAATGTCTACAAGAATGGAGATTCTACAGCCTTTCTGGACGTTCTATTCTAGTGTTTGTCTACACTCTGTGAGAAACTTTCCGTAAAATCTAATCAGAGTTGTTGCAGCTTTCTTATGTTGCATCTTGTCCTGGAGCTATGCACTTCTAAGAGTCTGTCTCCTGTACATTCCAGATGGATAGGTGAAGGTAACAATAAGATTTTCACCACCCAGATTTCTCTTCTGAAGGCTGGAAAACCCCAAATTTCTCTCAGCCACTGGTATGTCACATGCTGCAGTCCATGACTATCTTGGTAGCACTCTTCTAGTCTTGCTCCAGTATTTGAGTGTATGTCTTCATGAGGAACTTAGAATGGGACATGGCACACCAAATACAGTCTCACAATTACTGAACACAGGATAAAAAATTTCTTCAGCCTATTTTCTGCACTGCTGCTAATATAGCCTCAATGGCCCTTGGCCTTCTTTGCTGTCAGGGCATGCTTCTGGTTCATGGATAATTTGTTCAACTGCTATTTGCCCATCTGATCCATACTTTGCCAGTTGTCCCACTGAGATGTTAAGGGAGGTGGTTTAACCATGCAAAAGTCCAAGTAAATGACAGGGACAGCGGTTCCCCCATCCACAGAACCAACAATCTTGTCAGGTTTGCTATGCACAGTTAGGCTTTGGTAGAGCCATACTGGTTGTTTCCAGTCACCTTTTCCTCCATATACATGGATATGCCTTCCAGGATTTGCTTCATAATCTTTGCAGGGACTGAAATTAGATTTACCAACCCATAGTTCACTGCATCCTCCTCCTTGATGGAGGATTCTGGTCATCAGAACCCTTGCTCTCTTACTTCTTCCTGTTTGCTGCCTGTCTATCAAATAGCTGGCCAACCTCACAGCAACATTACATAAAGACATATTCGGGGATTTCATTTCTGAAAAATTACTGATTTGACATTCCTTGAACTTGGTGTGTGATGTCCTCAGGAGCTTAAATGGCAAAATCATTTCAGGTGGTAAAACTCTGCTTTTTAATTTTTCACTATTATGAGTGAGGAGTTGGACCACTCCTGTGCCCTTAAGCCCCGTGGCTGTTCTCTAACAATGTTCACTTTGAATAGATGGAGGCTAAT